GCTTTCACTGAATCGAAACTTGTCTATCCGTCTGATGTGTGGGTGGCATCCGCATGACTTCGATTATGGGCACGAAAACTTACGTAGGATACACCCCGCCCTCTCTTCCCACACTCACCATATCAGAACTGGAAGTGGGCCTGATCACTGTGGCCGGCAGAGCCCGCCTGGCTGGAGTATAACATGGCTGTTTTCGTGATGAACGCTGCTTCACGTGCTGCTGCACCAAATAGGTCGATACGGTGGCTACGCCCGGTTCGTCTTCCTCGAAAATATAAACGGTTGCTGGAGTACGGCCGTTGCACCCAGGCCGCCTTGGGTTAATTACAGATGAGAGGTCGGTGATCCGGGTGATCACAATTAAGGAAACGATGGGCTCGCTGCCGGGGACCACATGCCCGCGCACCCGTTCGCCGTCCTGCGTTCCAAGTACTCGCTAGCTGCCTTTCATCGCCTCTGCTCGGATAGGATTATACGCCCCGAGGCTGTACCCCTGACCTCCTCTAACCGGTCAGATTTGTAAGTTTGTAGTTTTTTTTGCCGCTCAGAAGTGACGTTCTGAGTTCAGTGTTGGCTGGTCCTTTTACACGCGCGCGTAGGCATATAAAGTATCCAGTATGCAGGAATTGCTTGTTGGTTATTTTAAGCTTCCATCCGACACTAGACCGCGTTGATTATGGTCTTCATGTTTCCTGAAAAGACTCTACGAAATGTTATGGTTGCTGAAACACTATTAGACAAGATTTTAAGAGGGGATAGGGGTTGTGTTAGAAACCGCACCTTCTGACTTACTTCAAGCTTTTTTTTACTTAAACGCATTTGTTTTAACGAAAACCAAAGTAAGTAGCACACAGGTCGCTTCTGCGGTTCTGCTGCGACAATAAGTGCGCTTTACTGGAATTCAACCTAGTCTATCTCTCTGAAGTGGAGGTGACGTTGGCATGACTTCGATTATGGGCAGGAAAACTTACGTGGGCCACACCCCACTCTCTCTTCCCACAATCACCATATCAGAACTGGAGGCGGACTTGACCACTGTGAGCGGCAGAGTCCGCCTGGCTGTGATACAACATGGCTGTCTTCGTGATAGACGCCACTTCACCTGCTCGTTTACCAGATAGGCCGATACGACGGCTTGGGTTAACTAAATATGAGGAGTCGGTGATCCGTGTGATCAAGATTTGAATGCGACTCAATCTACCACAACGAGTACGCCCATAATACTAACGATAAGCCAACTAAGTTTCTGTCAGTCCCCTTTATCCACAGGGGACTCACCCTCTGGTAAATTCATTTCAGCTCATTTGTAGACCTGTCAAAAGCCGTCAGCTTTCGAAGATTTTGGTCGGTAACAGTGTTGGACTTGCAATATATTCTTCTGTCAAGTAAATTGTCATTCAAAGAGGTAAAGTTAGGGTGAAAACAGCATTTATAGAACTATGCGCATTCTGTGAAACCGGCTCTTGTAAGGGCAGCTGAGCACGCCAACCTCCCTTATTTCGCATGATCCCGGTACAAACTCATTTCGTGAGCGTTAAGTAGCCATTTTTTTTTCATGGGAAGAGGCGTTCACGTATGGGGATGCGCGACATGCTCGTCCCGTTGCGTCTTGAGGCTCAATTTGGGGTCCGCGTTGGCAGTCGCATAAAGATTATTTATACGCCCAGGAAGTAGTACCTATCGAAGACAGAGTCATCTTTAGTTAATTATTTCAGGCAGACCCCCCTTTCGTTCTTTTTCTACCCGGTATTTATAAAGTTTGCTTTTGAACACTATTATAATACACCCATATAGCGCTTCTCTATTGTGCTATGCCCAAATTTCTACAAAGAAGAAAGGCTCGTTTGGAAAAAAAAACAAGATATACTCGTGAATTTTCAAGCAGCTAGCGGCGGCCCGTCGTCAGACTAAATGAACAATGGAGAAAGTGAAATGGCCGGTTAAGGTCAGTTTTGGCGAAAGGATAGACAAAGAAAGACAGGCAGCCAATGTATGAAGAGAGGAGGGGGGAGGGCGTGGACAAATGGTTATGGTAGAACTTCTTCTTCATATTATCTCGGAACGCAGTCTATTTCATCCATCCATAAATTTTTATGCCTAGAACAGCTATGAACGCAGGAAACTGCTGGAATATGAAGTCACGTAGATTTCTGATTAAATTTTGACGGATAAAACCAACTAAGGATAAATTCCTTATGCAAGCAGCACATTTCCCAGAGCGGGCTAGGCAAATAAGTAGGTGCCAAATATTGATAATATCAATTTCCATCATCATGTCTCATGAGCTAAGTCACGTGTTTTATGTCTTCTAGACCAAAGTATACCCTCAGCGATTGCTGTCTCCTACGTCTCATTGCTGACTCAGTTACCGACTGGTATCCTTCGGCTCCCCCCTCACCCTCCACCCGATACCGTCTGATCTCTGCGTATTTGGACTTGGCTCAGGCGGTTCTCGAGGGCGAACGCCTGGCCTACCTATCGGGCTGCTCAATTGATGGGTACGAACAAGCATCGCCGTCCTGCTTCCCTACCGCCAGTCCCTTGCTTGCCTTCCTGGTATTCTGTGTGAACTTTGTCATTGAGGTCTGTCAACCGGGCACTTCAGAGCTGGCTGTCAAGGGGTCTCTTCAGCCCCTGAGGGAGGTCTGCCAGCGGTCCGACCTTTTTACTCTGCGTAAGTACATGGTTTTTGCCTGGACCACTGCTCACTTTTCTCGGCTAGGACCTCTTTTTTGTTTGCAATGGTCGCTTATCCTTTTAAAGAGAAAGAAGAAGAATGCTATATTGAGGATTTTACAAACCTGAATTTT